AGAGAGAGAGAGAGAGAGTGTGTGTGTGTGAGCGAGCGAGAGCAGGTTGTTGGAGTGTGTTGGGCTCTCAGAGCGGCGCGTGTGTTTGCTGAGGGAGGGACGGATCAGAGACGGAGAGATCAGAGAGTGTGTTTGTGCTGGATGCTGGTCGTCGTGGCGATGGGAGTAACGACCCAGAGTGCAGCTGGATGCTGATGAGTGACATCAGTGTGAGTAACACACACACACACACACACACTGCTGCATCGCACTGCTGCTGTTTCCATGCACTCGTGTGTGTGTGTGTTTGATTTACTTTGAAGATGAAATTGTCTGCTACATTTGGTCTTTTTTGGGTAGAGTCATTATAATTAGTTTTATAGAAAAGTCTATGAAATGTGCTTGTTTAGGCTATATAAACATGAGTGTTTTCTATTACGTGTTGGATGCCTTATGGTTTCAGTAACTGATTTTTTTTTAGCAAATCTGAGTCCATGCACAATTTTGTGCAAAATTGTGCAAATGCAAGCAGAAATACAAGAAAAAAAAATATGCAGAGAAAGAGACACTGTTTGTCTGAGTGTGTAAATGTTTTATGACTTTTGCTGTTCTGCAAATGTGAGCACAATACAGTCAGAGAGAGAGAGAGAGAGTGAGTGTGTGTCTCTGAGGGTCTGTATGGAGGTGACAGATATTAATGACATGCTGAAACAATCACAATCTTTTGGGAAAAAGACAGAAAGAGGCAGTGATTGATTGTGTGTGAGAGTGAGTGAGTGAGTGAGTGAGTGTGTGTGTGTGTGTGTGTGTGATGATAGTACAATCTGACAAACCAATACTGAACAGATGAAGGTCCGAAAGAGACAAACTGCACAATGGACTAGAGTTTAGCCTGTGCTAAACTCACCGTCACAAAACAAGGGTGTTGCTATGCAGTTACTAGGGTGGTTTAGCTGTATGATGTGGGTGGTTTCTAGACTGTTGTTTGTGGTTTGGGTGGTTGCTAGGGCGTTGCTATGGTGTTTGGTGTGGTGTCTAGGCTGTTGTTTGTGGTTTGGGTGGTTGTTAAGGTGTTGCTAGTGTGATGTGGCTAGTTGCTAAGGTGTTGCTATGGTGTGGTTTCCAGGGTGTTGGTGGTGGTTTGGGAGGTTTCTAGGTGTTGCTAGTGTGATGTGGGTAGTTGCTAAGGTGTTGCTATGGTGTTTTGGGTGGAGGCTAGGGTGTTTTGTGTGGTTTCTAGGGTTTTGTTTGCGTTTTGGGTGGTTGCCAAGGTATTCTTTGTGGTTGTTAGGGTGTTGTGGGTGGACGGGCTGCACAATTAGGGGGAAAAAGTCTAATTGCATTTTTTTAATGATAAAAATTGTGCACTGCAATTCAAAATGTGATTTAAAACAAATTTCAAAAATTGTGATGTGGGTGGTTGCTAGGGGGTTGCTATGGTGTTTTGGGTAGTTGCTAGGATGTTGCAGATGGTTACTATGCTGAAAAGAGTGCTCCTCCTTCAGTGTGCGTCTGTGAGTGTTTAATTTATTTATGTTTTGTTTTTTTACCTGTTTTAATGCGAAATCTCCTCAACAACACACATGATGTGAGGAATCATTCATGTCTGGAGCACAAACACTGCACTTACACACTCAGTGATACAGGTTTCAGCGCGGCACTATCAGCACTAGTGAGTGAGGATTGACTTAATGACCAGCACTCATGGGTTTAATATAGGAACAACAGAAGTCACTGCAGGCTCTCATACAGACAGCTTGGTAAACGTGTGTAATGTTCTCATTATAAACAGTGCATTCATTAGTATTTGACAGTGTGAGTTGAAAGTATAATGTAGTTCATCATCATCCTCACAGAGTCCCTTCAGTTTCTGTGTCTGTCAGAAACCTTTCATTTCTGTGTGAGTGGGTGTGTGTGTGTGTGTGTGTGCAGACAGACAGAATGGGTTCATCGCTGGGGCTCTGAGACTTCTGAGAAACACACACCTGTGATTTAGCGTGTCAGCTGAAGTCTCTTCATGTGCAGGTAGCAAGTGGAGACGGAGGAGAGTGTGTCAGTATGTTTTACTCAGAACTTCAGTTCATGAAGTTTATAGGGAATTCAGTTTTCAGACGCATAAAAAGCCACATTCAGACTGCAGCGTTTCTGTCTCACATTTAAATAAACTCATAAACCCGTGATCATCAACCTCCCTCAGCCATCCACTAAAAATATGGACACTGACAATTTAACCGCTTCAGGTTATTATAGTTAACTAAGACTAAACATTTTCTTGACTTGACAAAATAAGTCAAAATAAATTAAATATATATATATATAAAACAGTATTTATTTAATATAGTCACCAAGGAAACATTTTTCATTTTTATTTAGTTGTACTGATGAACCAACTACAGTGCCTTAGCAACACCATAGAAAACAACTCATAACACCCTAGCAACCACCCACAGCAGACCAAAATATCACAGAGACACTTGCTTCAGGCCATACTGGAGAAAAACACCTAGCAACCACCATGGCAACACCCTAGAAACCACCCAGAACACCCTAGTTACCACCCACGGCAGACCAGAATATCACAGAGACACTTGCTTCAGGCCATACCAGAGGAAAACACCTAGCAACCACCCAAAACACCCTAGCAACCACCAAAAACACCACAGCAACACCATATAAACCACTCATAACACCCTAGCAACCACCCAGAACACCCTAGTTACCACCCACGGCAGACCAGAATATCACAGAGACACTTGGTTCAGGCCATACCAGAGGAAAACACCTAGCAACCACCCAAAACACCCTAGCAACCACCAAAAACACCACAGCAACACCATATAAACCACTTATAACACCCTAGCAACCACCCACAGCAGATTAAAATATCACAGACACTCGCGCTTCAGACCATACCAGAGAAAAACCCCTAACAACCACCTAAAACACCATAGTTACACCCTAGAAACCACCCAGAACAACCACCCTAACAACCACCCACAGCAGACCAGAATATCACACTCGCTTCAGACCCACCCTAGCAACCACCCACAGCAGACCAAAATATCACAGAGACACTTGCTTCAGGCCATACTGGAGAAAAACACCTAGCAACCACCATGGCAACACCCTAGAAACCACCCAGAACACCCTAGTTACCACCCGCGGCAGACCAGAATAGCACAGAGACACTTGGTTCAGGCCATACCAGAGGAAAACACCTAGCAACCACCCAAAACACCCTAGCAACCACCAAAAACACCACAGCAACACCATAGAAACCACTTATAACACCCTAGCAACCACCCACAGCTGACCAAAATATCACAGACACTCGCGCTTCAGACCATACCAGAGAAAAACCCCTAACAACCACCTAAAACACCATAGTTACACCCTAGAAACCACCCAGAACAACCACCCTAACAACCACCCACAGCAGACCAGAATATCACACTCGCTTCAGACCATACCAGAGAAAAACACCTAGCAACCACCCAAAACACCATTTCAACACCCTAGCAACCAGCCACTAGGGCTGCACAATTAATCAGAATAAAACCGAAAATGAATTTAGTTAAACTTGATGTACTAAAATAACTCTCTTTTGGACTAGCGTAATATAATGGAGACGTTTAATCAGCAGCAGTGTGTTTTTGTGTATTTTGTCGAGCGTTTGCTCCGATCGAGCTGCTCTAGACGTCAGAAAGTGTTTGACTGTGTCGAGGTTTGCTGGCGGTCGCCGCAGTACTCTGAATGTCACGAGTGACACTTAAACACGGCCACAAAACCATTAACCTTTACATTCACAACACGCACATATAGATATTCCTCCAGCTGACTCTGTCTCTCAGGTCTCTGTCTGATGGATGGTTTTCTGCTGGTGTCTCATTAGCTGCTGTCCTGTTCTAATGCCTCACACAATCATGCTGCAAATGCTCTTCAATCTGAACAGAGTTTATTTTCATTTGTGGACATTTGATGAATTGCATGATGAATCTGTGTGAGGTTCCTGTGGTTGAATTATTTACACTGGCTTTTCCCAAATGTTTTTTTAATCATCTGAACCTCTTTGAGCCAAAATATGTACTTGAAGCCCCCTGAGATTAAAGTTAATATCCAGTTAATATCAACTCTGTGATGTTGGTTAATGGTCATGACATGCATGATTGTTTTTATTTTAAAATGTATTATTTTAATTGTAATTTTTTTTATTTGATTGATTTTTAATAAGGACTTTATTTTATTTTGATGTTTTTATTTTAATATTTATTTTAAATCGTTGCATTTGTGATTTAATTGCTTTTTAGTGAGCATTTTATTTTGATTGTTTTTACATTTAATTCTACTTTGATTCATTTTTAGCAAGTGTTTTTTTATTTTTATATTGTCTTAATTAAAAAATTATCATAATGTGCCTGTTTTGCCTGCTCAATTTGTGAAAATCTGCTCATAAATGGTGTGATTTTCAGTATAATGTGAAAAAAGTGAAAATTAAATGACAAGGTTTTTTCCTACAGATCCTCCATCCACTGCCTGAGTTAGTTTAACTTAGTTAAACTGTTGACATGTTTATATCTACTTACATGCATAATAATCTGATTTATTATCATAAACATCTGAAGGAAACTCTAGCGCCCCCTTGAGTCCTGTGACAGTAACGCACTTTAATGTCTGTGTTTCTAGTTTTAAACCTGTTTACTGATTCTTGCTTTACAAACTCAAACACAAAGCGTCTCTCTCGTTCCGTTTCAGGGATTTTGCGTATGTGGCCCGTGACAAGAACACGCGTGTGTTGAAATGCCACGTGTTTCAATGTGACAGTCCCGCGGAAAGCGTCGCCAGCAGCCTGAAGCAGATCTGCTCGAAGGTGAGGAGCGAGAATCGAGAAACAATCCGCAGACATTCACAATCACAGCAAACAAACACTCGCTTCCATACTGACAAATTGAATCACCAGTCGCATATTTATTATCAGGCTCATTAATAATTCATGAGGAAAGAGCCTCAGCAACCAATCATCTGTCCGGTTTGATCTGAAACCTTTTCTGTCGGTCTGTGAAGATAAATGTGTCTTCTTAGGGAAAATATCTGTGTTTCCAGTATTTCTTTGCGTCGTGGGTTGAGTGTGTGTGTGTGTGTGTGTGTGTGTTAGTATGCGCCGTCCATCCTCACGTAAAGTTGCCCTCTCAGCAAGTCCATCCACAGGCTTTGTTTAACATTGAGCTCAGATTTATTGTCTTCAGATTAATGACCCGCATGAGCAGAGAGACTGACAGGAGGCTGGAGAGGAACTCAGGCTGTTTAACTCAGTCGTGTTGTTTGTTTTCTCAGATTATGGCTGAACGCAGGAGCGTCGGTCCCGTCGCAGGCTCCTCGTCTCAGTTCAGCTCCGATGTTCCTCTGAGAGGTAAGAGCTTCACACGCGCCGGCAATGATGTTCAGTCACATGCCCAATCAAATCTGGACATTTGATGATTGTGAGTGACCTGTTTGACTCCAAGGCCCCGTTTGAAGGCCCTCCATGTATAGGCTAAGGTACTTTTGCTGTAATACAAAAGTTTTTCAAACTTTATTCATAAAGTAATTAAATACATTCCTTTTTCTAACTTTTGCATTTAAAAACAAAGTATTGTGCATGTAAAATAATTAAGTAAAAATATTGAAATAATTGAATTCCATAATTCCAGAAGTTTCACTTGAATGTTCTTTTGGATTTGCTATTTTTATTGCCAGTTAATTTATATAATTTCTCTACTCTTGTGATTACAGGTTTTTATTTATTTTTTTCATAAATAGCAATTTATTTTTATAACTTTTGCATTAGCGCATAACAGTGTTTATTTCAAACTTTATTTGCAAAATATATATAATTAAATTTCATAATTTCAGAAGTTTCATTGAATTTTCTTCAGGGTTTACACTTTATTTCTAATGAATTTGCATTAAGGCTTTTATTTTGTGATTATTATCAGTTTCTTTTAAGAACTTTTGCATTAGAGCATAAAAGTTTGTTTTAGAACTGTATTTATAAAATTATTTAATAAATTATAAATTAAAATAACTAAATTCCATAATTCCAAATTTTATTTGAATGTTATTCTGGGTTTACACTTTCTATTTTTATGTGTAGTCTTTTGTGAGTACAGGGTTCTGTTTTTTTTTTTTTTTTCTTTTCATAAATTTTGTGAGTACAGGGTTCTGTTTTTTTTTTTTTTTTTCTTTTCATAAATAGCTATTTATTTTTATTTTGTAGTCATATTGCAATTTCTACCTAATAAAATATTTTAGTTTGACATAAAAAAAAAAAAAAAACACTTATATTCATTATAATTTTTTTTCTGTAAATGACAAAACTTCCATGACTTTAAGACTTTTAAGACTATTCATTTCCATTTCTAGAAATCACACTTTTAAAATTGTGTCATATATCCAGGTTTTCCAAGACCGTGAAAATCCTGGTTGTTAAATAAAAATGACAGCTTTTGAGGAAACCAATTAAAATAAGAAATGTCAGCTTATCTTAATGTTTAGTTGTTTTAGTTTATTTTAAAGTAAGTAAGATGTAATTAATAGTTTTTAAAATAAATTCATATTTAGGCACAATTTATATTCTATGAAACTAATTTCAATCAATTTAAGCATAAGCTGTTAGAACAGAAGGTTAAAATAATGAAGTGAATTCAGTCAGTGAGTCCAAATGTTTAAGTGTTTTGTTTTATGAACAAAACACACAGATGGCCTGAAATGAAACTGAAATGAGCAAAGCAAGAAAATGATGCAAATCCCAATCAATGATCTCAAACGTTTTTTGTTTTTTTTTTGCACCAAAACAGTTAATTAATTTCAATGAAACTGCATTTTTAATTTAAGAAGAACTTAACATGTATCCAGAGTTCTGCTCACATGACCCAAATGTTTGTATTTCATTGGTCAATGATGTTTTCGCTGCGATCCACAGCTGCGGTCCACAGAGATGCATTGTTTTGTTGCAGCTAAAACACAAATATAAATAGACCTATAAGCTGTTTTTCTTTAGGTATAGTCATCTGTTTTGATGTAAATATATTTTATGTGTGTGTATATGTGTATTTGGAGAATTGTAAATTCATGCTCCAGCAGTACAAGTCCATAAATAAAGTGATGGGCCGTGCTGACCTCAGCACACGCTCACGCTTTATTTCATTCCTGCTGTAAATTCCTGCAATGATCAGTGGGATAATGAAAGCTGCAGTTCTGACCCATTAAAATGCAATTAAATCACCCGTGTTACAAATCACAGAATCACTGCCGCTGCTGCATTTACATCCGTCTCATCTCTATCACAGTTTACAGCTGCTTCAAATACGGCTTGTCCGCTAGCTGTTTTATAATGCAAAACGCACAGCGCAGGATTTCTGGGCTCCTGAGGGATGCTTTGCTCTGTTTTCATCATGCCAGAGGTTCCCGCTATGTGCAAATGCATTTAGAGCATAGATTCCCTCGCCGGCACTTGGACTGATGAGTGAAATCTTCTGTGTGATGTTCAGCTCGTGTTTCTCATCTGTGTGTTTCTTCAGTAGAGTTTCCAACACCAAAGACTGACCTACAACACAGTTTCCATGTGTTTTACCTGGGAATGACGTCAGTACTGCGACCTATTGGTAAAACACACACACACACACTACACTGTGAACTTCATTTGAACAAAAACCAAGGGCGTCTTTATTAAATGAGCCATGTTACTTTGCAACATCAATACTGTTATTCAAATAAACTGATTCAAAAATGAGCTGAATAATGACACTATTACCATTCTGTGGAGCTGCTTTACAGCTGAAATTGAACTCGTTTCATAAATGATTAATTTTGAGCACCATTAATTTCTTGTTTATCAATGTCAAGCTGCTTTGAAACAATCTGTATTGCCTAAAACACTACAGAAATAAATGGAACTACAAAAGCAAAAATGCATTCCAATAAGCTTGAGATGCCAGTTATAAAATACTGATATTATATTCATTACTGAAATGTGTTTCTCACAATTGAGATCCAAAACAAGCCAGATTTTTTTTTTTTTGACCGTGATACTCGATTAGATGAAGAAACAGTGAATTTTCTTTGGTTGATTCAGAAGACAAATCTCAGTTTTGAGTAAACTTTGAGTCTTAAATTACACAAATTCACATGTATTGCATATTTTTGTGTTCGTCAAGCTACAATTAAAGGTTTTCTGTTTTTTTTACCTGACTTTAGTGTCTTTCGAAGTGTTGATTTTGGCAAACTGCATGGAAATCAATGGGTGACTCAATATGACTCCAACACAAAAGTTGTAAGAAAATTTGTACAGCCTTTCAAAAACACATCTCTGTGTTGAAACTTTACATGCACATTCATGACCCAGAATGGAAAATATTCACCAAATTTCAATACGAAATAAATAGTTTAACAATATTTCGAGCAGTTTGAATATCGAGTGTGGATCAAATTGACCCCAACACAAAAGTCCTAAAAAAATCTGCGCAGCCTTTCTAAAACACATCTGTGTGTTAAAACTTTGCATGCTCGTTCATGACCCTAAATGAGAAATATTCACCAAATTTTAAAAATAAATAAATACTTTAACCAGTATTTTAAGCAGTTTGAATATCGAGTGTGGGTCAGACAGACCCCAACACAAAAGTCCTAAGAAACTTTGTGCAGCCTTTCCAAAACACATTTGTGTGTTGAAATTTTTCATGTACATTCGTGGCCTTAAATGAGAAATATTCACCAAGTTTGAAAAAGAAATAAATACTTTAACCAGTATTTTAAGCAGTTTGAATATCGAGTGTGGGTCAGACAGACCCCAACAAACTTTGTGCAGCCTTTCCAAAACACATCTCTGTGTTGAAATTTTGCATGTACATTCTTGACCTTAAATGAGAAATATTCACCAAATTTTAAAAAGAAATAAATACTTTAACCAGTATTTCAAGCAGTTTGAATATCGAGTGTGGGTCAGACAGACCCCAACAAACTTTGTGCAGCCTTTCCAAAACACATCTCTGTGTTGAAATTTTGCATGTACATTCTTGACCTTAAATGAGAAATATTCACCAAATTTTAAAAAGAAATAAATACTTTAACCAGTATTTCAAGCAGTTTGAAAATCGAGTGTAGGTCAAATTGACCCCAACACAATGGGAGAAAGCATCACGTCACTGGCTTTGCAGCATGCACTTCTGAGACGAGTCTTGTGCACGTCATGTAATGAGTAGAGCTGGGTATCGAGTTCGATACTTTTTAGGCACTGACCGAAATGCCTCGATACCATCGAGTATCGAAAAACGTCTCGTCGTTCGGTACCAAATTTCGATACCTAAGAAGGAGGAGATAAGTTAATCTCATCAGCGTCAGTGAGCCAATAAGCTTGCAGCACTAGCCGGTGTGTTCGACTAGAAG